ACCACTGGCCATGAGCGGGTTGGCCATTTGAAATTTTTGAGTTGCCCCCCGCCCTCCTCCCCCCGAGGAGATAAAAAACTGGAAAGTACCTTAAAAAGATTCCCCCTCAATATGAGGAAAAACGTCTTGAACCGCAAGTCAATATCATAATTAGAACTTAAAGTTATAGCCAGTGGTGCGTGACTTTTGAATAACCCCGTGTACAGAATGTTCAGATTACAATACTTACTCAACGATTCTTTCACTTCTCGCCTCTCTACATGGTTTATAATAGTAAAATCGAGAGAGGATTCATTTTTCTCATCTTTAACATCAAAAATTGCACCGGCTCTACTTATCAAGTACTTTAAAAATATATGAAAAACCATCTTTAGCTGCAACATGCTATTTCGCGTCGTATAACCTTACTGCACTGACACTTAATACATGTATTAAGTGTCAGTGCAGTAAGGTTATACGACGCGAAATAGCATGTTGCAGCTAAAGATGGTTTTTCATATATTTTTAAAGTACTTGATAAGTAGAGCCGGTGCAATTTTTGATGTTAAAGATGAGAAAAATGAATCCTCTCTCGATTTTACTATTATAAACCATGTAGAGAGGCGAGAAGTGAAAGAATCGTTGAGTAAGTATTGTAATCTGAACATTCTGTACACGGGGTTATTCAAAAGTCACGCACCACTGGCTATAACTTTAAGTTCTAATTATGATATTGACTTGCGGTTCAAGACGTTTTTCCTCATATTGAGGGGGAATCTTTTTAAGGTACTTTCCAGTTTTTTATCTCCTCGGGGGGAGGAGGGCGGGGGGCAACTCAAAAATTTCAAATGGCCAACCCGCTCATGGCCAGTGGTGCGTGACTTTTGAATAACCCTGTATGAATAAAGAAGAGTTTGCCTGGTCGCTTCTTTTTAAAGAGGTAGACGTTTAATTCTTCGCGGGGGCAGCATGTCATGCAGGTGCAAAATCAAATCCCTCAAGTGGTGCTGTGCGCTTGTTAACATTTCAGCGAGATTTAAAAGAAAACGACTCATGATGCCATATTGTTTAATTCTAATCACAATACACCCCCGAAAATATTTTTGAAGACAGTGTCGATTTTATAATGATGAAAATACAAGTCTGGCTCTGTACTTCCTCGCTTTCTGTCCTTCTATTCGCAATTTTTTATGAAAATGATGGCAGATTACCGGGGAAAATGTTATATTTGTTTCCGATTGTGCTCTTAATACTTCACGAATTGCTAAAGTAAAAATAATGGCGTCAAATTTTACGATTTAAAATTATCTCCTCATTGTCAGATCATTTTTGCGAAAAATATCATGTAGCATTCACCCGTGAAATTGCTTGAAAAAATATCTAACAGGGTGATATAAAAAAAATATAAGTTCAAAAAACGTCTAGAGGATAGTAGCTGAAGAGAAACTTTCGACTACTAGAGTGATTGATCTTCACTTAAACCATCAAGACCAGTGGCGTGGCGTGAATTGCGATTTATCGATTGTTTTGCCATTTAAACCTCTGGAAAAGTATCGATAGATAGGGTATTCGCAGCGAACACCTTACTAATCGATTCTTTACCATAGGTTTAAATGGCATATCAATCGATAAATCGCAATTCACGCCACGCCACTGATCAAGACCTGTTGTGAGACTGTTGTGTTACGGGCTGCACCATCATCTTGATGAATGCATTTTTTTTTTTTAAAACTGCGCAAAGCTGGTATACCAACTATTGTAATCAACCGTTGCTTTAAGCTGATGTTTTCCATACCCGCATGTGCACTGTCCGTTATTTATTAAAGTCTTTCACTCGCGTCAAAGGTAGTTTACTTTATCCTTGTTGAGCCTTAGGTGCATTATTGCACGTTAAAATACCATGGAATGTTTTTAAAACATGCTTTTCGCTTATTTTTTTAAAATATTTAAAACAATTATCTATCTTTAATTTGTATAAAATCTTACATGATGACATTAACAGAAAGAATCACCGTCTTCTTTTCAACACTGAGTTTAGGTAAAATGTCAAAATAAATCCATCGCGACTACAGTTTACGCGAATTCTTTTCGGTTTTCAAGAGGGAGGAACTCTCCCTCAAAACCAAAATATTGTGTGTGCGAAAGACCCATGTTGGTCGTATACATCACTGCTAAGAAACAACGGTCGACGCATTTTCCAACTGACTATTGCGGCATTTATAAATGTCAGTATTTAAGACAAGCGAGCAACCAAAATTTGCCTTAATTTTCGCGTGATACCACATGACTACTGCGGAGTTAAAATGGTTGCGCGCTTAGTGTTCGCTTTGATCTATGTTGATTCGTTCATACAACATTTTTAAGCTTTCTGCGAGCATTAAAAAAAATACGCGACGTTTTAGAGAAACATAAAAAATTAGTACTTTCCAGATCAATTTTGCCGCGTATACGCAATTTATTCATAATTCGATGCCCTGTTTTCACCATTCTTTGGATTGCAATTATGCAAAAAGGAACCGAGAGCATTCCAATGTTGCTAGGATTGTGCACCATACTTGGTTACAATAAAATTACTGAAGTCATAAAGAGAATTTATACAACGGTAACTTTCATATTGGATTCATAGTTTATTAGGAGTAAAGATAAGACTTGTTTCAATGATCAGTTCCTACTTGCAAGGTAAAAAAAGTTCCAAGATCTTAAGTAGCGACATTTGAATGCTCTTGGTTCCCTTTTGCAAAATGCGATCCGTTTAAGAAAAAATAATTATCTTAATTTCTACGATTCAGAAATTGGAAATTGGGACCGTGTTTAATTTTTTTCCGGCAAAGAAAACAAAATAAAATCGAACGGACAAAAATATCACCTCGAAATTTTCTGTCATTTTTTTAAAAATCATCTCGGATATTCCCGGAATCATTTCAGAGAAACCGTGCGCAGCTTTTAAAGACATTGATAAAAAATAAAACATAAATTGTGCTGTGCACCTTTGCAATCGGAGATAAATACGCTTCTGATCGCGCGGAGCCATCTATATTTGGACGTATATCTGTCAAACAGAACTATGTGCACTAAGACATGAGCCCTGAGACTCATAAGAATATATGCATAACAGGGCTCACGTCATAATACACATAGTTCCGTTTGGCAAAAATGCGTCCCTTTTTTAATTCATTCGCGGCAGGCGTAACGAGATAACTATTCGACCACGGGTGTAAGCATATTGCCGCTCCGCTGGATTGAAGGCGCGTCAAACTGCGAAGATGACCGCGCTTCCGCGACCCTTTCTGGCGCGACGCTAAAATCGCCGCAAAACTAAGATTAAAGTACAATTCATATTGGAAAAGTCTTTAATAGCTAAAATAGTAAGGATAGATCCGGGTCTTTCAAGTTGTAGGTATCACGTTACTGCCGTGCTAAGGAAGAGCGCCGTATGAGCCATCAGGCGTTGCTAAATTCCCTTCGACAAATCACGGATTTTCAGGAAAATTTATAAAAGTTACTCCTCCGATTTTTCAGAGGATTCCGCTAGGAATGTCATCTAAAAAGTCTGAAAATTGCAAGGAAAATGTTACTTGACTTCTTTTCAAAAAATAAATACTTTCTGAGAAGATATTTGGCAACATTTAGCGTTTATACGGCGTTCTTCCTTAGCACGGCAGTATATGTATATCAGCCAATTTTCTTGAGGAGAATAGCTACTTTCTCGTCGATTGAGATCGCATTCTTTCAAAGTTCTCTTCCAGAAAATAATTGTCTGGTGTGAGAAGCCGTCTCCGAAATGAAAGCGGAAATTTTGGCGCACATTAGCCGAACCATGCGACGAACGCAAAATGCCGTTTACACGAATAATTAGCCTTTAGTTCCACTTAAAATTGGCCGTTTACAACGAAATGGTGGAAGGTGGAGTAAATCGGAAAAAATTTTCGGCCGAAGGCCCGCAACTTGGCACATCCTGTGGGGTTTGACATCACACAACCCTTCGTCGACCGCCACACAGTGGATCGAGTCAATCAGAGAGGTCGCACATGAAAGTTTTGACTAAAACTGCAAATTTTTATGTTCATTTCGTCACATTTTAAATTTCAAGGGGTGTTTGCAGAAGGAAAAACCAATGGTACCACTTTCAGAACCTAGAAGTTTTGTATAAACGGAGTTACAAGCGTTTAAAGTTTCCAAATTTTGTCCGACCTCTCCTATTGGCTCGATCCACTGTGCGCCACTTGCCTCACGACCGGGAGGAACCGACGGTAGTGCCCCGCGCCCTAGTATAACAATTTGGGGCTCATCGGTCACAGATACATCAAAATGGACCAAATTTTCGCCCTCAACGACCACAACTCGGCATTTTCGGGGGGAACGCAAGTAGCGGTGATCGCGATAAATAGCGATTTTATCGATTGGTTATCGCGATTATATCGGCGGCAATATATCGCGATATAAGATCGCATTAAAAATTGCGATAAATGGCGATTAAATCGCTACATATCGCAATTTTTGGTTCGATAAAATCGAGATTAAATCGTCATTTATCGCGATTTTTATTTTGAAAATATCGCGATAAATTGCCGGGCGATAAAATCGCGATTTTATCCCGAAAAGATAGAGGATAATCGCTCAGATGTTGATTATCTAAGCGATTTTATCCCCAATAAAACTTCAATATATCCCGATTTTCCGTTGAAAAAGGCTACTTGGGAATAACAGACACATTAAAACCACCCAAGAGACGCGTTTTGACCCCGNTTTTCGGTAAGGAACTAAGGGACTCGGTTATTGTATCGAGCAGGGTTCGAAACGATCGCAAAGGCGGTATACTACGTATACGCGCCAAAAATTAAAAATGTTAAAAAAGAGATGTTGACACAAATTTACATAGCCCCTTCAATTCTGAAGATACTGCAAACGAACTGTACCTTAAAATTTTCATATCCCAGAAGCTAAAGTTCCCATGACGAATATTGCTATCGCTAGCGATTGCAAAAACCAACTTGTTTTCTTTTTAAAATAGTTTTAAGTTAGTTTTTGGTTTGAAGATGCTCAAGAACGGCCGATGCAGAGGTATCTCTGGACTTCAGATGTAAATCAGTCATCTTAATGTAAACTAAAGTAACCTGTATAAGTGGATGATCGATTCCATAGAGCTCTTTTAATTCTTTAAACACCTCTGTGTGGATTTTTAATGATTCTACAAACTTACCTTCATCATGGAGATGACGTGCAAACGTAGATTTTAAGTTTACCAACTCTGGGTGCTTTGGACCCAGAAAATTTTTGTGCGCGTCCAGAACTTCCTGGAAAATTTTTTCAGCCTCCCGCGTTTTTCTTTGCTCTAACAGAATATTTGCAATAGCTTCGTATGTCCTTATGGTGGCCGGATGGTGAATTCCAAAAATATGTTTCTTCTTTTCCAAAACTTCGCTGTAAATTTCTAATGACTCCTCAAGTTTGCCTTGACATCTGAGCACTAATGCTATGTTATTTTTTTTACCGATAGTGGACTCGTGGTCTTCACCGAGTAACCTCTTCTCTTCCTCAAATAATGACGTGAAAATATTTAACGCATCCTCGTACATCTCCAACCCTGTCATTACCAATGCCATATGAAATAACGTTTGTGAAGTGTCACGATGGTTGCGTCCCAATAATTTTTCTTGCTTTGGATATATTTCCTGAAACGTGCGAAGGGATTCTTCATTTTTTCCAAGTCTATACCATACTAATGCTAGGTAGCTCTTGGCTGATAGAACTTCTTTATTGTCAATGATAAAGATCTTCTCATGTTTTTCACAGATATCAGTTAAAATTCTGCATGCCTCAGAATAATTTCCTTCACTGTAAGAAATCTTAGCTATTTTGAAGAGAACATCTATTGTAGCAGGATTTTCCTCTCCAAAAATGTCTTTTCTACGATTAAGTATCCTTTGTAGAATAGGTATCGAACGCGGCTCTATGGGAACAGTGAGCAGTATATTTTCCTGAAAGATCTGTTTCCAGGCTTCTATTTCAGGAAAATTGCGATTGATTGCAGCGACCACTAAAGACTCCTTCTTCAGACAACGGGCCCGCATTATTGCTTTCACTATTTTTTCATCCGTTATTTCTCTGAGATCACTAATAACTGCGGTGTCATGACCGCGAACATTTCTGTAAGCTTTGTCGATCATATCGAGGAGAGCCATCACCCTTTTATCAGTGGCTAAGTCGAATGGTGTCTTGTTGTTATTTGAAGTGTAATTATAAATTGCGCCTTTGTACAATAAGGCAACATTTGCTTCAAACTGCGAATACTTAGAAGCGTGATGTAGTGGGGTAAAACCTTTGTCATTGACTGAATTCGGATCAGCACCATTTTCCAACAAACATTCAATAATATCAGTATAACCTTTCCACGCTGCATAGTGTAAAGGAGTGCTGTAATTAGAACACCTGGCATTAACAACGACTCCGTTTCTGATCAACTTCTTAACTTGAACAACATTGTTTTTCCGCACCGATGCAAATAAATTTTTGATCGATTTTAATAGAATTTGGGTATCTTGAAACTCAGCAATTTTCAGTGGCTTTTTGCTAAGGAAATCAACAGGGTCGTACATGGCCCCGTTCATTAAAAGAGCTTCAACTATCTCTTTGCGGCCACCAGCTGCCGCTAAGTGTATGAGCCTCCAACCGGTGGTAGTAGCCTCGCAATTTACATCTGCACCGTGACCTATCAAATAGTCGACCACCTCTAGATTACCACACACGGCAGCGTAGTGCAAAGGGGTCAATTGATCGGGACCACTTTTTGGTAGTCTGACTCCGTTGAATGCTAGTAGAAATTCTGAAATGTTCTTCATGGTCTCTCCAGCTGCCATGTGTGCGGCTTTATGATTCCTAGCGTTTACATCAGCACCATTGTCCACTAGAAATTTCACAACTTCAACATTTCCCTCCAGAGAAGTGGTATGCAGCAGTGTCTCCCCATCACTATTCTCAACATTTATTTCAATATCATTTTGTTGTAACAACTTTTTAGCCCGTTCAAAATTACCGCACTTGATGGCTATTTCGAATGGCGTTTTATTTCGATTATCCTCGGAGCCAAATTCGGCCCCATGCTCCAGCAGGATTTCAACAACCTTGAAGTGCCCGCTCTCTAAAGCTGCGTCTAAAGGAGTACCATAATTGCTGGCGAAGTTGACGTCTGCCTGTTTGGCGATCAAAAGTTTAACAACATCCTCGTGACCATTACGAGATGCCGAGAAAAGTGGCGTGATATTATCATCAGTTACAACTTTAATTGGGGCTTTTTTATTAATCAACATTTTTACCGTGTTTTCATCACCTTTCTCGGCAGCAACATGTAGCAGAGTTTTGTTTTTCTCATACTTAAAGTAAGTGCGGGCTCCTCTGTCTAGAAGAACCTTTATAATATCCTTGCGACCTAAAAGAACAGCTCGATGTAAAGGTTCGCCCTTCTGCGCATTGACATCTGCGCCAAGATCTAGAAGCAATTTTACGATGTCTATTTGATTCAATCTCACTGCTGAAATCAATGGCATAGATCCACCAAGTATTGTGTTAACGTCCACTCCAAAATTGCTCATCAGGTTTTGTACAATCCGTATTATTGGAGTATTAGTATCAAGTATTGCATTAACATCTGCCCCATGTTTGACCAAAAGTTCGATACTTTCCTTATTTTTTGTCTCCACCGCTATACACAACGCGAGCCCATTTTTCAATATGCTTGAATTCTTTTGAAAGTTATTTTCGAGGCAATATCGGAGGATATGTGATTTGTTACCAGCAATAGCCTGTATTAAGAACAATTCAGGGCTAGAATCGTTGAGGTCTGATTTGGCGATTAGAATTCGCACACAGTCTTCGCATCCGCTTTCAAGCGCAGCTTGAACTGGTGTATTTCCATTCTAGTTCGCAATATTGACTGCTGCGTTATTTTTCAGTAGCTTTTCAATGACATTACACTTACCGCTGGAGGCAGCGTAGAATAATGCTGTGTTACCATAGCTGTCTTGTTTATTAATCCCGATGCTCTGACTAATTAAAACCTTCATCACGCTTTCATGGCCTGCTTGCGCCGCTAAATGTAAGGGTGTTAGTCCTTGAGGACCTTCCACGTTGACATCAGCTCCATATGCTTTATTAAAATCTTCACAATTCTTGTGTGCCCTCGTCCTGCTGCATAGTGCAATGGTGTGCTTTCGAATCTATCTTTCGCATGAATGTCCACATTTTGTCCGAGGAGAAGGGCAGCAATTTCTAAGTGACCTTTCATGGCTGCAAAGTGTAATGGAGTTCCGCCTAAAAACGTGATAGCCTTAGCGTTTGCTCCGTTTTTGAGCAAAACATGAGCAATCCCCTCATGGCCGAGGAGAGCTGCATTGTGGAGAGGCGTGTGGCCACTTTGCTTGTCAGATATGTTTGGATTAGCCCCGCTTTGAAGTAAAACCCGGACCATCCGCTCATGTCCCATCTCGACGGCATAGTGTAAAGATGTGGATCCATCAACTACCCTGGAATTTACATCAGCGCCGCCTTGAATTAATGTCTCTACTACCTCCAAATGGCCGTAAAGAGCGGTTGAATGTAGCGACGTCCTTCCATAGTCCATTGTTTTATTTACATCAGCTTTTTTGTTGAGCAAGAAGTGAACTATATCGAGATATCCACATTCAGTGGCGATGTGCAACGGAGTGAAACCGCCCGAAGATTCATTAGAATCAACATTTTCTTCTCTCTCCAATAAGGTCTTTACTACATCAATGTGATTGCATTTGATGGCATAATGTATGGCCGCTAAGCCGTGTTCATCTTTAGCAAAAGCATTGGCGTTGTTCTTCAGTAGAACTTTTACAGCCTCTTTTTGACCATTTTTAGCGGCAACAATCAATGGAGTATTTAGAAGGGTATCAGGATCATCAACTTTAAGAACCCTTTCTTTCAAGAGGTACTTTATAATATCCGAGTTTCCGTATAGAGCTGCAACATGAAGGGGAGTTCGTCCCATTACATCTCTCAGATTTGCATCTAACGTCGTTTGGTCAAGTGTAAACTTTAGAACATCAAGATTTGATCCCATACAAGCGAAATGCGTTGCTGTTTGCCCTTTAATATTTCGGGCATTCATATCAGCTCCTTCTCGTAGACAGGTTTTCACAGCTCCCAAATTTCCCTCTTCCAATGCACTGAATAGATTTTCTTGAAAGGAAATGACGGCTAGCTTTTGATCATGTCTTGCTTGAACCAAGGATGGGATATCAATTATGAATTTGCCAATTTTTTTGGTTATTTTGCTAAAATCTTCAATACCACTAAATTTCTTGGCATTTAAAAAAATCGCCATAGATGGGTCATATGATAATAGATCAACTAAAATGTCACCATGCGCTAAGTGATCGCGAAGAAATTTTCCATTTAACAGAGGAACACAATCATCTAAAAAAAAGAGATTATTCTCCCAGGGTTTCACCGAGCCACTCAAAATTGACATAATATCCAGGAGAAGCATTTCTACAACCGGTTGCAATTTCTGCCGTTTCTTGAAAGAGGTTAATATTTCAACTGTCTCCCCTCCAAGGTCATTATTTTTAAGGATACTCTGCAATTCGTGCAGCTTCAACGAGAGTGCATCCTCGCTTTTAGCTTTTGTACCTTCAGGAGTTCCTCCTTGCACTTGTGAAGGGTGAGGAGATCTTTTCTTGATTAGTAGCTGTTCTCTCAATTTCTCTAGCCATTTGATATCGTTAGTTTTGATTTCAGCAAAGCAAAAGAACTTGCATGCTAACGTGTGTATGTCATTTAGTCGTTCAATTTCCTTTTGTGTTTTTGGTTCAATTCGTGATATCACACTTGCACATATTTTCATCCCACACTGTACGATATCCTTGAAATCACACTCTTTTACTTCTAAGGTAACTTTTTTAAACTGTTGAGTAACACACGACTGAAAGTTACGGAAAAAGTCCCATTGCATTTTATTTTCCTCCAGTGTAATCAATCCATTTATGACAGATGCAAGCGCAACATAATAATCGAAAATTGCAACTTCTGATTGGGTTTTGAATGACGTAATTATAGTGTCAATTTTTCCGAATAATTGTTCTTCAATGTCATTTGGGTCTGTTACATTTTTCCGTAGTGCCTCAATCATCCTCTCTAGCTTTTTGTGTTGTGTTACCATTTCAGAATTTTCTGATGGTAGTGCTGGACAAACATTAACCTTGTCGAAGGGTTTAGCCATTTTTAGTAAATCATCCAAACACGTAGCCGACATGATTTTTCTCAGAAGAGATTTAAGACACTCAACTTTATTATTGAGAAGGATGTCGACAACCAAGCTTTCTATTATTTTTGCTTCGTTCCGAATACCATCGTAAAAATTGTCATCAGCCTGTTCTTCAATTTCAGTTCTCTGCGAGAGAGAGGAAGAATGGGATAATGCATCTCGTAAATCTACGATGATTTTCTTTGTGCTCAGTTGTAACGAGGATAATAAAAGTTCGCTCATTGCTGTAGATAGTTTGGGCGATTCCAGAGTATTTTTGAAATGTTCACCAATGACTTGGAGAGCTCTTGTCATAGTTAACTGTCCCTCTTTCTCTTTGAAATTTGCTTCAGCAATGAATTGCAAATGAACTCTTATTGTTTCCAATGAGTAAATATCTCGCACTTTTTTGTAATCATCGTACAGGTCCCTAAATTCAGGGTTGCTCTCAATGATTTGTGCCACAACCTCATCACGTGGTGTTTCCGGAAGTATGTTAAAGTCATTATTATTAAAATAACCCTCTACAAGTACTATTTCGTCGAGTGTCTTCCCGAAAAGAGGTGTGTGAAAAAACGGCCAAAAATGCCTCAAGGCATTTTCGAATTTTGATCGCTCGGGGTGATACAGAAACTTCCGAGACGCCCAAAACCGGTCGCCGTTTTGCTTAGAAGCGCCGGGTTGCGACGTTGCCATTTTTTAAAGTGGAAACCTTTAAAAATTCATATCTCCGCCGCATCTCAACCGATTTCAATGAACTTTTTTTTAAAATGTTCCTCTTAAATAGAGCTTTCTAGTGGTATATAGTTTTCTGGGGCTTACTTGGCTTTAAGTGGCACTTACGCGGTTTTAGCACTTCTTGATAGACACAAAAATGTAGTTTTTATTTTACCACGATCGTGGAATCGACGGAATCTAAACAAAAACCAGTCTAAATGAAAGTTCAGATTCTCACCTTTCTAACGAGCACAAGATCATCCCGGGGAAACGTTTAGTTTCCGAGATATGACCGCTCAAAGTTGGTCACATGCGCTTTTGCGCAATGTGAATGCGCCTTATCACTAAGTCATTCGCGAACTGGGGGTCCCTTATGTTCAATTTACGTTGAAATAATTACACAGAGCAGTAAGGTGTACAACACGAGCCGTATTTTCACCTTCGGCTGCTGATGTGCGACGTTGCCATTTTTTTAAGTGAAAACTCTTAAAAATGCATAACTCCGCTGCATTTCAACCGATTTCAATGAACTTTTTTTTAAAATGTTCCTCTTAAATAGAGCTCTCTAACGGTATTTAGGTCTCTGGATTTTATTGACTTCAGGGCGGCACTTAGGTCGTTTATATGGTTTTTTGCAGAGATTTTTCATATAAATAATTGAGTTGCTATTTTTTTTTCTTTTTTTTTCGGGAGGGGGTCTGTATTTCCCCCGATTTTTTTTAACATTCAAACTAGATCGGAAGATCACCATCGCTTAAAGTATAATGCAAAAATCTTGGTAAATTAACAACACCAACTTCCCTTGTACAATGAGAGCGTCGCTTTCAATATTTGTACACGTAAGAATAGTGATTAAAAGAATCCCTTTTTTCAAAGTTCTTTCTTTTAAATTTTGCCATTTCAAACCCTCCCACAACCCGCGGAAAAAAAAATAAAAAAAAAAAAAAAAATAAAAAATAGCAACACTATTTTCTATATGAAAAATCTCTGCAAAGAACCATATAAACGACCTAAGTGCCGCCTTGAAGTCAATAAAATCCAGAGACCTAAATACCGTTAGAGAGCTCTATTTAAGAGGAACATTTTAAAAAAAAGTTCATTGAAATCGGTTGAAATGCAGCGGAGTTATGCATTTTTAAGAGTTTTCACTTAAAAAAATGGCAACGTCGCACATCAGCAGCCGAAGGTGAAAATACGGCTCGTGTTGTACACCTTACTGCTCTGTGTAATTATTTCAACGTAAATTGAACATAAGGGACCCCCAGTTCGCGAATGACTTAGTGATAAGGCGCATTCACATTGCGCAAAAGCGCATGTGACCAACTTTGAGCGGTCATATCTCGGAAACTAAACGTTTCCCCGGGATGATCTTGTGCTCGTTAGAAAGGTGAGAATCTGAACTTTCATTTAGACTGGTTTTTGTTTAGATTCCGTCGATTCCACGATCGTGGTAAAATAAAAACTACATTTTTGTGTCTATCAAGAAGTGCTAAAACCGCGTAAGTGCCACTTAAAGCCAAGTAAACCCCAGAAAACTATATACCACTAGAAAGCTCTATTTAAGAGGAACATTTTAAAAAAAAGTTCATTGAAATCGGTTGAGATGCGGCGGAGATATGAATTTTTAAAGGTTTCCACTTTAAAAAATGGCAACGTCGCAACCCGGCGCTTCTAAGCAAAACGGCGACCGGTTTTGGGCGTCTGGGAAGCTACTGTATCACCCCAAGCGATCAAAATTCGAAAATGCCTTGAGGCATTTTTGGCCGTTTTTTCACACACCTCTTTCCAGGTAGTTGATTATTGATTCTTTATTCAAGGAAAGGACTGTCAATAGATTCATTTCATGATACTTAATTCGAGAAGAAATAAAGCTCACTAAACAGAATTCAACCTCCTCCCACGGTAGCTTATTGTAAGTTGATCTCAGTTGTCGCTTAAGCACATGCATATTCTGCAGAATGAACTTCCCAGTGAGTAAAAATACGTCATCTACATCTGCACGAGAGTACTCATTTTTCATAAATTCAATTTTTTCAATCGTTAATTTAATCCGTGAAATGATATTGTTGGTATCACTTTCAGTATCTTTAACTGATAAAGAATTTTCAGACCAAAACTTGAGGTCTATTAATTTACTTTCTACAAATGTTTCCATCTCATCAGAAAGGGGCACCCTTTTCAATTTTAGCTCGTCGTAGGCCGCGGAAAGAAGTTCTTCTAGTTTTCGAGGGTTAGAGGTGAAGTTCATTTCAGGCCATTCGTGAATAAGTATTGAAAGGACATCTATGCTATCTGATCGGATGGCATAGTAAAAAGCATTTTGTTGTTCTGAATCCACAAGATCTGGATGATACGCATCGATTGCGGAAGTCTCCGGGGCCAAAATACCCAAGACTTTGCAATTGCTTTGAAACAAATATTTTAGAACACTAGGACTATTGTGCTTGCAACTTAATATAATTAAATTAGTATCAAAGAAAGGATTTTCCTCATCATTGAGAAATTCTTTTTTTGTGATATTCTCATTATTCGTGTATTCAACAACATCACAAAGTCTTTCAAAATGATCTACTTTATTTGTTATCACTGCTTCTTTCACTTTTGCTAGGACATGGAAGTAAAAGTCCTTAGCTTTCGATGTTTCACAACAATGCTTCTTTAAATCAGTAAGAAATGTATTTTCCGAATTAAAATAGCTCAAAAGCATTCTTTCATTTTCTTGAAAGGAATTAGTTTGCCTTTTTTCAGAGGGCATGGTTTTTTTTTTTGGTTTGTGACGAGTTTTGGAGTTTTTCTCCCAAAATATGTTTAAGAAATTGTTCTTTACCGTAATGCAAATAATTTAGTTGTATAAATGGTTCGGCGTTGCGGGTCCTTTCCTCGCTATCGGCCACAGTTTAAGCACCGAAGTTTTCGGAGATTTCAAATTGATCTCGACGAATGACTATCCTGTAAAAATAGAAAATTCAAGGGTAAATTATGAAACATCGTGAAACTATTAAATAGATAGACGTATAGGAAGTTAGAATAATAATTTACTTGTTGTCCCGGGTAGGGTCTAAGAAAGGGAAAGTTTGACGTATTAACATAATTACAACAATTTACATCGTGAATTAGGCACACAATAAATTTCTATAAATCTTCTAAATAATTACCGGCCCGAGGCAATAGTGTTCGTACAGAAAGTTCATGGTTTGCTAGTCATTAATTTACGAGGGGGCTACACCCTCTGGCCGTTACGCGGCCCAACTCTCAGAGGGCGCTTCGCGCTCTCCTAGGCTCGCGTCGACAAAAGAAGCACCCAAAAAAATGAAAAGATTTTTATACCCAATTCTACACACATACATACATGAAGCCGCTTTTATAAAGCCGCCTCGCGCTCTGCGACGCCCAAACGCCATTGCCCCCTATCCTCCCAGAGATCATCAGGCAATTGGCACCTTCTGATCTCCTCCTCCACCCCTTGTCGCCAACCTTTCACAGGACGTCCACGCCGTCGCCTTCCGGGAGGAACCCAATCGAAGACCTGCTCGGGCAACCGATCATCTGCCATCCTTCGCACATGTCCATACCAGACCAACTGCTTGGACCTGATATCGTGCACGATGTCCTTCTCCACACCCATTATCTCGCGTACCGTTTCATTGCGGATACGCTCTCTTCGCGATATCCCAGCAGACCTTCGCCAAAAGTCCATCTCGGTTGCCCTAAGCATGTCTTCAGTTCTTTTCTTGAGTTGCCAGACCTCACTCCCGTAAGTTACGATACTCTTCACGATGACGTTGTAAATTTTCGTACCCGATTCTCATTTGTCTAATCTCCGTCAGGCCGGGAGAGATTGGACCAATAAGAATCGAATGAAAAATCCCATTTATTTCAATCTTCATATGCCAAGACTGAAACGAAACGGAACGGAGCGTTTCGTCGCTTTTGGATGGTCTTGTACCATACCTTCGATTCACTTACCCTACTAACAGACCAAGATTCAACATTTTCCGCTTAGTCTAATTTTGCCCCCCTTCATAAGCTGTCTGGTCTACTCTTGTATAAAAAAAACCTGGGTCCTATTTCCAAAATCTGATTAAAGCGAGCTCATTTAGTGACTATTCCCTGTCGATTACCGCAAAAATCATGGAGATCGGCCGACTAGAACGCTCCAACGAATTGTTACAAAAAATAAAAATTTGCATCGTTTAAATGGGAGGATTCGCAACTTTAAGTACCACGTAATATGAGAAAACCTGGGTCGTATTTTCAAAACCTGAATATAGCAAGCTTATTTAGAGACAATTGCCTGTCGATAGCCGCAAAAATCATGAAAATCGGTCCGGTAAAACTTTGGAACTAAGCGTTACCAGACATGAAAATTTTGGTCTCGGAGCTTTTAGTATGGATAATGAATGACCTTATTTTTAGGATGGTGGCAAAGGAATTATAAATATGTTTAAGGTGCTGTTCACCAGTATCTTTTTTAGTATTTCGTTCATGTCTTAAGGTACTGACTTAAGAAATAATTTCTTGAATGTTCGTATGTTGAGCACACAAATAATATGCGATGCAGGTTCTCAAAACTGTTAAAAATTAACGAGCTCAAGCTCTATTTACTGTGACTTGGTCAAACAACTATTCTTAAAAAGTGAACATGACCTCACGGAAACTAAATCGCCACTACCAGGAATCCAGTAGCAACTGCAATGTTTTTTTAATCGACATATCGTCGTTCCTCTGACGTGAGAACATTCCTCAATTTTAATGTGAGCCCTGTTCTCCGTATAACTCCTCGTCTGCCGGGCTCATGTGGAAATCGAGGTATGCCCTTACGTCAGAAGGGTGTTCATCTCATGTTCATGATCAAATCGTGTGTTTAACACAATATTAGAAGTCACACCTCTGTGAAAATTGTTCTGAAATCACGGATAAGTAACGTCTAGCGATTCGTAGAAGAATCAAAGTCTTTTGGTGTGATTTTGTTTTGGCGTGGTTATTGCAGCTATTCTTGCAACACTGGGAACGAAAAGTCGCTTTGACCTAGAGTCCAGACTCCTAAAAACATTGACAAGAAAAAGTATTCTTGATTCAATCAGACTTTTTACTCGAATCAAAAGGAAATCCGCCTAAATCAAGGAGTTTGGCTCTTCAATTCAGGAAAAAATCGGATTGAATCAAGATTATTTTCTCTTGTCGACTTTATGAAGAGTCTGCACGGGGAAAAAAAACACATTGGATCTAGAGTCCAAACTCTTGAAAACATTGACAAGAAAAAGGACTCTTGATTCAAACGGATTTAAGTTTAACTCCAAAGGAAATCCGCTCAAATTAAGAGGCTTGGTTCTTGATTTAAGCTTAAATCTGATTGAATCGAAAGTGTTTTTTCTTGTCGATGTTTTTAAGAGTCTGGACTCTAGATCCAATGTGTTTTTTGTTTTCCAGTGTGGACTCTAGATCCAAGCGACTTTTTTCCCCCGTGAAGGAAAGAAAATTACCTAAATAGAACCATCAACCGAAATAGATAAGAAATAGAACTCGTTGTACCTAACAAGAAACATCACAAAATCCAAAGAAGGAAAACAAAATTAATTTAAGAGTAAACATTTCCCTCAAAAATTTTGTAACTCTCTTTTTCCTTATCTTTTCAGGACTAGTATCTCCACTTTTGGAATAAATAACTTGTCGATAAAGAATATTAAAACGTATGCAACACGGATACTTACAAAATTGAGGTTTGATAAGTGGCATGACGACTTCATGAAAAAAGCCCGACGAAAATGCAGACCATGAAAGATGGATAGCACAGACCTTTTAAACTCGTATTTGTCGAATTCAGGGCTGAAAAGTGACAGTCATTATTAAAATTAAGAGTAAATAACAGAATAATTCCAAAGATAAAAAATGTAAAATTATAGACGAATGTTATCTATTCTGCAATAAATTTTGCACTATATTGGAATATTAAACAGAGTACCTCGAGTCCCTCCCTCTGTAAACACCCCTCGAAATATTAAATGTGACGAAATAAATATAATTTGCAGTTTTACTCAAAACTTCCATGTCCGACCTCTCTAATTGACTCGATCCACTGTGTGGCGGTCGACGAAGGGTTGTGTAATGTCAAACTCCACAGGATTTGCCAAGTTACGGATCTTCGGGTGAAACTGTTGTCCGATTTACTCCACCTTCGACCATTTCGTTGTGAACGGTCATTTTTAAGTGGAAATAGAGGCCAATTATTCGTGTAAACGGCATTTCGCGTTCGTCGCATGGTTCGGCTAATGTGCGCCGAAATTTCCGATTTGATTTTGGAGGCTGCCTCTCACACCAGACAATTATTTTCTGGGAGAGAACTTCGAAAGAATGCGATCTCAATCGACGAAGAAGTAGATAGTTAGTTAGTTAGTTAGTAGTAGTCTCAGGCTATTAACGTCTTTACAGATAATTTTGAAAATGGGAGTATAAACGAAAATTTAGATTCTCTCTTTAAGAAAGTTGACCGATATACTGTCGTGCCAATGAAGAACGCCGTATGACCGGTAAATGTTGCCGAATATCCTCTTAGAAAGTATTTATTTTTGAAGAAAGTTAAAAATATTTTTCCTTGCAATTTTCTGACTTTTTAGATGAAATTACCAGCGATATCCTCTGAAAAATCGGAGGAGCAACATTCAAAAATTTTCCTGAAAATTCATAATTTGTCGAAGGGAATTTGGCAACGCCTGACGGCTCACACGGCGTTCTTCCCTAGCACGGCAGTATGGTGATACCTAGAACGAAAAGGACCCGGATCTATCCTTACTATTTTAGTTGTCAAAGCCTTTTTCTGTATGAATGAATTGTACTCACTTTCCTTGTTTTGCGGCGATTTTAACATCGCGCTAACCAGAATCGGGGTAGCGCGGTCAAGGAATTTTCGCAGTTTGACACGCCTTCAATCCAGCGGAGCGGCAATATGCTTACACCCGTGGTCGAATAGTTATCTCATCACGCCTGCCGCGAATGAGTTCAAAATATCGATACAATTTATGTTTTATTTTTAATCAGTGTTTTTAAAAGCTGCACACAGTTTCTCTGAAATGATACCGGGAATTTTCCGAAATGATTCCTAAAAAAATGACGGACAATTTCGAGGTGATATTTTTGTCCGTTCGATTTTATTTTGTTTTCTTTGCCGGAAAAAAAATTAAACACGGTCCCAGTTTCCAGTTTTTGAATCGTAGCAATTAAGAAAATTATTTTTTCTTAAATGGATTGCATTTTGCAAAAAAGAACTAAGAGCATTCCAATGTCGCTAAGATCGTGGAACTTTTTTTACCTTGCAAGTAAAACTGATTATCTAAACAAGGTTTATCTCTAGTCCCAATAAACTATTAATTCAAGATGAAAGTTACCGTTGTATAAATTTTATTTGTGATTTCAGTAATTTATTGCAACCACGTAAAGTGCTAAATCCTAGCAACATTGGAATGCTCTTGGTTCCTTTTTGTGAAATGCAAGCCAATGAATGGTGAAAACAGGGCAGCTAATCCTGAATAAATTGTGTACACGCCACAAAATTGAAGTGGAAATTTGTAATTTTTTATATTTGTCAAAAACCTCGCGTATTTTTTTAATGTTCACAGAAAGCTTAAAAATGTTGTATGAATCAACACATGTCAAAGCAAACACCAAGCACGCAACTATTCTAATTTCGCAGTAGTCATATGGTATCACGCAAAAATGAAGGCAAATCTTGGTTGCTCCTATGTCGTAAATTACCGACGTTTATGAATGCTGCAATAAGTCAGGTGAAAAATGTGTCGACCGTTGTTTCTTAGTAGTGATGTAATAGACCAACATGAGTCTTTAAATTTATTTAAAAAAACGCTCACACAATATTTTGGTTTTCAGGGTGAGTTCCTCCGTCTTGAAAACCGACAATTCGAATTCGCACAAACTGTAGTCGCGATGGATTTATTTTGACATTTTACCGAAACTCAGTGTTGGAAAGAAGACAGTGATTCTTTCTGTTAAATGTCATCACGTATGATTTAATACAATTTTAGCGTAGATAAATTTTTAAAAAATAAACAAAAATTGGGTTAAAAAAACATTTCATAGTATTTTAACGTGCAAAAATGCATCTAAGGCTCAGCAAGAGGTTAAATTAAACAGTCTTCGATGTCAGTAAAAGCCTTTAATAAATAACGGACGGTACACACGTGGGCATGGAAAACATCAGCTTAAAGCAACGGTTGATAACAATAATTGGTACAGCTTTGCGCAGTTTTTAAAAAAAAAAAAAAAAAAAAAAAAAAAAAAAAAAAAAAAAAAAAAAAAAAAAAACATTGAACAAGATGCTGGTAGAGCCCGTAACACAACAGACTCACAACATGTCTTGATAGTTTTAGTGAAGATCAATCACTCTAGTGGTCAAAAGTTTTTCTTCAGATACTTTCTGCTAGACGTTTTTGAACTTGTGTTGTTTTTATACCACCCTGTTAGGAAGTTTCTCAAGAAATTTCACGGGAGAATGCTACATGATTTTTTTCGCAAAAGTGATCTAACATGATCAAATCGTAACATTTGATCCACTCTCTTTACTCTAGCAATTGATAAAGTGTATTGCATTTTGCAAAAAGGAACCACTAGCCTTGCAATGTTGCTAAGATTGTGCAACTCCTTTTGTCTTGGAGGAAAACCCCGATTATCCATTAATAGTTTCTATTTTACTCGCTAAAAACTGTAAATTTAAGCCAAAAATTACCATCTAAATTTCATAGTTTTTCACGATTTCCGCAATTTTATTGCAAAAGATGAAGTTGCACAATCTTAGCATCATTGCAATGCTAGTGGTTCCTTCTTGCAAAATGCAATCCAAGTATTAAAAGCACAATCGAAAGCAAATGTAACATTTTCCCTGCAAATCTGTCATCATCCTCACAAAAAATTGCGAATAGAAGGACAGAAAGTGAGGAAATGCGGACCGATATTTGTACTTTCATCATTATAAAATCGACTCAGTCTCCAAAAATATTGTCAGGGGTGTAAGTATTGTGATTAGGATTGAACAATGTGGCATCGTGTGTTCTTTTCTTTGAAATCTTACTGATGTCTTAACAAGCGCTCAGTGCCACTTAAGGGATTTTGCTCCATGATGTGCTGTCCCCGCGAAGATAACAAACGTCTACCTCTTTAAAAAGAAACGGCCAGGCAACCTCTTCTTTATTAATATACAGAATGCTAGACCACAATACTTACTCTACAATTCTTTCACTTTTCTCCTCTCTACAGGGTTTATAATAGTAAAATCGAGAGGGGATTGATTTTTCTCTTTTTTAAAATTGCACATTGCTCCAGCTCTATGCATGAAGTACTTTAAAAATATCCAAAAAGCTATTTAGCCTTACTGCACCGACACTTAAACTTAGCTTAACGTTGTAAGGTGGGTTAATAACAATTATTTCCTCGCAACCTTCGGATGTACAACCAGTGTACAAAGGATTGATGCCTTTAGAACTGATTTAGGAAGGATTAGGTTTGACTTTCATTGACCAGTGTATCATCCTGAAAGATCTTTTCCAGGTCTTCTATCGCAGGAAAACTATTATTAATCGCAGTGACCATTAGAGACTCCTTTTTTCTGGAACAGGCTCGCATTATTGCTTTCACTATTTCTCTATCAGTTATTTTTCTGAGATCACTGATGACTGTGGTGTCACGACTGTCAACTTTTCTGAAAGCTTTATCGATCATGTTGAGGAGTTCGATTATTTTTTCATCCGTGGCAAAGTCTAATGGTGTCAGTTTCTCAATATTAGCACAATTATAAATTGCACCTTTGTGCAGTAAGGCAACAGTTGCTTTATACTGCGAGTTTTTTACGGCGCAATGTAGCGGAGTGAAACCTGTAACATTGGTTGAGTTTGGATTAGCGCCATTTTCTAATAAACAATCAATAATATCATTATAACCTTGCCACGCAGCATATAAAATAGGAGCGCCAACTACAAATTGCTTAGCATCGATGATTGCTCCTTCTGCGATTAACTCTTTGACCCGAGCACACTTATTTTCTGTCATTGCTGCAAATAAATCGTCGGTTGATTTTAGTAGACTTCTGACACCTTGATTTTCGGTAATTTCTAGTGGTGTGCCGACATTAATATCAAACGCGTTGTATATAGCTCCATTCTGTAAAAGAACTTTAACCGTTTCTTCACGCCCATCAGAGGCTGCATAGTGCATGGGCGTCCAACCGATGTAACTCTTGCAATTTACATCTGCACCGCGAGTTATCAAATAATTCACCATTTCATGCTGGCCATACATGGCAGCGTAGTGCAATGGTGTCAGTCTCTCTACATCCACCTCCTGTACACTCAATCCGCATTCCAGAAAATATTCTAAAATTTTTGTTTTGCCGTCTGCTGCTGCAGTGTGTATGGGTTTTGTGCCTGTATGCCTTTTGTAATTCGAATTCGCCACATTGATATCAGCACCCTTTTTAACCAGAAATTTTACGAGTTCAACATTATCTTTTCGAGATGCGTGATCCAGCATTGTCCATCCATCTCTATCTTTACCATTTATATCAATTTCATCCTGTCTGAATAACATTTTAACGAGTTCTAAGTTACCATTTTGAACAGCTATATCTAGTGGCGTCCTGTTTTGATCATCTACAGTGGTAACTACCGCCCCATGTTCTAGTAAAATTTCAACCACTTTTATATGTCCGCGTTCTACAGCTGCGTGTAGAGGAGTGCTACAATCGAGTAGAAGAGTGGCAAAATTGATCTCCACCTCTACGATTGAAATTTCATCGTGGCCGCTACGAGATGGGAAGAACAGTGACGTCAGAGTTACAGAATTAATTTTAGTTACTTTAGGAACGACCCTGACATTTACATCAGCGCCCCTTTGAATTAAAGCCTCTACCACTTCCAAATGACCAAAAAGAGCGGCTGAATGCAGTGGCACCCTTCCGTAGTCTGTAGTTTTATTTACATCAGCCTTTTTGCTGAGCAAAAAGTTAACTATATCGAGATATCCACATTCAGTGGCGATATGCAACGGAGTGCAACCATTCAAACATTCATTGTAATCAACATTTTCTTCTCTCTCTAATAAGGTTTTTGCCACATCGAAGTGATTGCATCTGATAGCGTAATGTACAGCCGCTAAGCCATTCTGATTTCTAGCAAAAGTACAGGCGTTATTTATCAGTAGAACTTCGACAGCCTCTTTTCGCCCATTTCTAGCGGCTACAATCAACGGAGTGTTCAGAAAGGCATCAGAAGCATTAACTTGAAGACCTCTTTCCAAGAGGTACTTTATGATACCCGAGTTTCCGTATTTAGCTGCAATATGAAGGGGAGTTTGTCCCATTACATCCCTTAAATTTGAGTTTGACGTTTGTTCGAATGTAAACTTTAGAACATCAAGATTTGATCCCATACAAGCGAAATGCGTTGCTGTTTGCCCTTTCATATTTCGGGCATTCATATCAGCTCCTTTTCGAAGACAGGTTCTCACCGCTTCCAAATTTCCCTCTGCCAACTCACTAAATAGATTTTCTTGAGTGGAAATGATGGCTAGCTTTTGATCATGTCTTGCTTGAACCGAGGAAGGGATATCAGCTATGAATTTGCCAATTTTTTTTGTTATTTTGCTAAAATCTTCGATACCACTAAATTTCTTGGCATTTAAAAAAATCGCCATAGATGGGTCATATGACAATAGATCAACTAAAATGTTACCATGCGCTAAGTGATCGCGAAGAAATTTTCCATTTAACAGAGGAGCACAATCATCGAAAAAAAAGAGATTACTCTCCCAGGGTTTCATCGAGCCACTCAAAATTGACATGATATCCAGAAGAAGCAGTTCTACAACCGGTTGCAATTTCTGCTGTTTCTTGAAAGAGGTCAATATTTCAACCGTCTCCCCTCCAAGGCCATAATTTTCAAGGATACTCTGCAATTCGTGCAGCTTCAACGAGAGGGCATCCTCGCTTTTAGGCTTTGTACCTTTAGTTGTGCCTCCTTGCTCTTGTGAAGGGCGAGGAGGTCCTTTTTTTAGTAGTTTGCTTCTCAATTTCTCGAGCCATTCGATATCATTAGTTTTGATTTCAGCAAAGCAAAAGAACTTGCATGCTAATATGTGTATGTCATTCAATCGTTTAACTTCCTTCTGTGTTTTTAATTCAATTCGTGATTTCACACTTCCACATATTATCATCGCACGCTGTATAATAATCTTCAAATCACATTCTTTTATTTCAGAGGTGAACACGTATACTTCTTTTTCAAACCGTCGAATACCCGACTGAAAATGATGAAAATAGTTCCATTGCATTTTATCTTCCTCCAGAGTAATCAATCCATTTATTACAGATCCAAGAAAAGCAGGATAATCTAAAATTGCAACTTCTGATTGGATTCTGAATGGCTTCATTACAAAGTCAATTTCGCTGAATAATTGTACTTCAATGTCATTTGGATCAGTTACAATTTTTCTTAGCTCTTCAACCATCTCCTCTAGCTTTTTAAGAGTTTTCATTTCATAATTTTCTGATTGTAGTACTAGGCTACGTACATTAACTTTGTTGAAGGCTTTAGCAATTTTTTGTAAATCATCCAGGCCCTTAGCTGACATGATGTTTTTCAGCAGAGATTTAGCACACTCAACTTCATTATTTAGAATGATATCAACAACCAAGCTTTCTATTATTTTCGCGTCATTCTGAATACCATCGTAAAAATTGTCATCGGCCTGTTGTTCAGTTTCAGTTCTCTGCGAGAGAGAGGAAGAATGGGATAATGCATCTCTTAAATCTACGATGATTTTCTTTGTGCTCAGTTGTAACGAGGATAATAAAAGTTCGCTCATTGCTGTAGATAGTTTGGGCGATTCCAGAGTATTTTTGAAATGTTCACCAATGACTTGGAGAGCTCTTGTCATAGTTAACTGTCCCTCTTTCTCTTTGAAATTTGCTTCAGCAATGAATTGCAAATGAACTCTTATTGTTTCCAATGAGTAAATATCTCGCACTTTTTTGTAATCATCGTACAGGTCCCTAAATTCAGGGTTGCTCTCAATGATTTGTGCAACAACCTCATCACGTGGTGTTTTCGGAAGTATGTTATTGTCATAATTATTAAAATAACCCTCTACAAGTACTACTTCGTCGAGTTTCTTCCCGAAAATTTCCAGGTAGTTGATTATTGATTCTTTATTTAAGGAAAGGACTGTCAATAGATTCATTTCATGATTCTTAATTCGAGAAGAAATAAAGCTCACTAAACAGAATTCAACCTCCTCCCACGGTAGTATATTGTAGGTTGATCTCATTTGTCGCTTAAGCACATGCATATTCTGCAGAATGAACTTCCCAGTGAGTAAAAATACGTCATCCACATCTGTATGAGAGTACTCTTTTTTTAAAAATTGAATTTTCTCAGTCATTAATTTAATCCGTGCAATGATATTGTTAGTGTCACTTTCAGTATCTTTAACTGATAAAGAATTTTCAGACCAAAACTTGAGGTCTATTAATTTACTTTCCACAAATGTTTCCATCTCATCAGAAAGGGGCACCCTTTTCAATTTTAGCTCGTCGTAGGCTGCGGAAAGAAGTTGTTCTAGTTTTCGAGGGTTAGAGGTGAAGTTCACTCCAGGCCACCCGTGAATAAGTATTGAAAGGACATCGATGCTATCTGATCGGATGGCATAGTAAAAAGCATTATGTTGATCTAAATCCACATGATCTGGGCGTAAGACGCTGATTTCTGCATTTTCGGGGGACAAAACACCCAAAATTTTAGACTCTCTTCGAAGCAAGTTCTCTAAGACTTCCTGGCTTTTGTGCTTACAAGCTAATATAATTAAATTCGTATCAAATAAAGGATACCCTTCATCGCTAAGGAATTCTTTTTCTACAATACCTGCATCAGTCATACTTTCAATAGCGTCGAAAAATCTTACGAAGTCATTTAATTCATTTTCCATCACAGTCTGTCTTACTTTTCTCAAGACATAAAAGTAAAAGTTCTTAGTTTTAGTTTTTTCACAATTATTCTTCAGCCAATGTAAAAAGGCACTGTTATCAGGGGCAACACAATCTGACAGCATTCTTTCATTTTCATGAAAAAAATTACTTTCCTGCCCTTCAAAACTCATGACTTCAATAGATGGTTAGAGTGGTACTATTTAGATTTTTATCCCCAAGAAATGGTCTGAAATTCTCGAGCAAGAAATAACAGAGACGTTAGCTGATTATTGATTTGTGGTAACAAATGTGCATAAATCTGGAGGTCTTGCTAAAGTGAATTTCGAGGATTTCAAAAAGGAATCGATTTCTTACGCCTGCTGTCAGTCGTTCAGTTTATTATTGTGCACTATATGAGGGGTTCTCGTTCTATCATACAATCCATCAATTTTCAACCCTGAACGTAACACATCGAAATTTTAAAATCGCGGCTCCTCAAATTTACCTTCCCTAAGTTGTAAACTTCTAATTCTCACAGCTACGGGTTTGTTACGCGTTTTGGAGTTTTTCTGCCAAATTATTTATCGGACATTTTACCGTAATACAAATAACTAAGTTGTAAATGGTTCGGCGTGACGGGTCCGTTTCTTGTTATCGGCCACAGTTTAAGCACCAAAGTTTTTGGAGATTTCAAATCGATCTCGGTGAAGAATTATCCTGTAAAAATAGAAAATTTAAGGTTAAATTATGAAACATTGCAAAACTATTAAAATAGATAGATAGGTGGAAAGTTAGAATAATACTTTAATTTTTATATCGATCAGGGCAAAACAAAGGGGAAGTTTGACATATTAACATAACCCAAATAATTTACATCGTAAATTAGGTACCTATAATGAAATGTCTCTAAATCTTCTAAAAAATTACGCGAGGCAAGACTGCCGTGAACCCGTGATAGCGGAGAGAGCAGTAAGTGTTAAATTTTCGAAACTGAGTTTCTCTGAAAATTTGTCTGATCTCTTTTAGATGAAATCACTGAAACAGCTAAAACAGTGAAATTCATCTTAATTTTTTAAAAGCCTGACTTATGAGTAAGCCGTAAGTGCGCCAAAAATGACGTAGTTTCAGGCAAGACAACAGTAAGTGACATTATTCCTCCAGAGAGCTAATGAAAACAGTGCTTTCAAGTACAGTGTCGCCCTCTTTTGCCGATTTCCAACCTGAAAATGGGTTTGTTGTGTGTCCTAAACGCAACCACGAAAGCATGCAGAAGATAGCACTTACGGCTGTCTTGCTTAACACTAGCCTAACATGAAAATGAAAGATACCCTTTTCATGTAGTTATAATAAAATCGGTCGATTTTGAATTATCCAAACGACTTCTGAGAGTCTTTCCGATGATTAATGACAATCAGGCAAAGAACGGAGGCTTCTTTCAACAAAATTCTTCGGTCAGACGCTCCTGAGCCTGTTTCCTGAAAACTTCATTTTTGCGCTTACTGCTCTCTTCGCTATCACGGCAGAATAGTGTTTGCACAGAAAGTTCATGGTTTGCTAGTTAATCATTTACAATGAATGATCTTATTTTTGGGATGGTGGCAAAGGCATTATAAATATCTTGTAGGTGCTGTTCACTGGCATCTTTTTTTAGTATTTCGTTCATGTCTTAAGGTATACTGACTTAAGAAATAATTCCTTGAATGTTCGTATATTGAGCACACAAATAATATACGATGCAGGTCCTCAAAACTATTAAAAATTAACGGGCTCTAGCTCTGTTTTTACTGTGTCTTGGTCAGACAACTAGTCTCAAAAAGTGAACATCACCTCACAGAAACTAAATCGCCAAATACCAGAAATCGACAAGATTCTTGAAAAGCTTACATAACCAGACTGCCCAGTAGCAACTCCAATGTTTTTTTATCGACATGTTCAGTATCGAATCGTGTGTTTAACACAATATTAGAAGTCACACCTCGGTGAACATTGTTCTGAAATCACGGATAAGTAACGTCTAGCGATTCGTAAAAGAATCAAATTCTTTTGGTGTGTATCATTGAAGCTATTCTTGCAAGGAAAGAAAATTAGCTGAATAGCTGTAATAAGAAACATCACAAAATTCAAAGAAGGAAAAAAAAATTATTGTAAGAGTAAACGTTCCTCTCAAAAATCCTGTAACTTTTCCCCCTCCATCTTCCCTTTTTTTCTATCTTCTCTAGTCTAGTCTCTTTAGTTTTGGAATAAATACCTAATCGCAGTGGCGTGGCGTGAACTGCGATATATCGATTGTTATGCCATTTAAACCTATGGAAAAGGATCGATAAACAGGGTGTTTGCAACGAACACCTTATAATCGATTCTTTACCATAGGTTTAAATGGTACAACAATCGATACATCGCAATTCACGCCACGCCACTGCCTAATCGATAAAAAAATATTAAAACTCACGCAACATAGATACTTACAAAATTGAGATTTGATAAATGGCATGACGACTTCATTAAAAAAGCTCGACGAAAATACAGACCATGAAAGTAGGATAGTCCAGACTTTTTAAATTCGTATTCGTCGAATTCAGGGCTGAAATTCAGTGACAGTAATTATTAAAATTAAGAGTAAATAACGGAGAGTAATAATTCAAAAGATAAAACATGTAAAATCATAGACAAATGTTATCTGTTCTGTTATTTTTGCACAATATCGAAGTATTAAACCTAGTCCCGAGACCGGGTTCTGTGGCGATTAGGCGTCGCAGAGCGCCCAAGAGTGCCATGAAATCGGCTTTTACGCATGTATGTATGTATGTATGTATGAAATTTTGAATCACCTCATACATTCGTTTCTCAAAGAACAATTTTCATGACTCTTCCTTATAAATCTTAAATTTACTGCATGTTCTTCCACATTAGAAATAGTATATTAGAGGTAATATGTTAAATCTGTAACTGATTCCGTAGTTCAAAACTTGTGGGTGTTTCTTGCGCCAAATTTTTTTAAAAATATCCTTCGAAGCATTGACACCGATATTTCAGTTTTGCGTTCCTAACCCCTGCCCCGGAGGTCTTTTTACCCTAGTCGGTCACTGATAGAATAAAGAAGAACGAAAATTTTGGCTCAAAATCAATTTCCCTTTGGTTCCTTTCTCCGAAAACGGTATTACATAACTTTTTTAATAATCCCAAAAGTTTCATCATAGAAATTCATGTGGTCTTGGAGTAACAGCATGGCACATAAACTTGCGTCACTTTTGTGTATTTCAACATTTTTGGGAGTTTTTGCGCCGATTATTTCGCTGAATATTCTTTGATTCTTCACGTGTCTCAAGTTTGAATTTCTTGCTACTTGAGTTTTCTCCCCGGACCTTTGCAAATAGTAAAGACAATTTAGGGTGATGCAATTCTTACTGCAATGAGGTACATTTACTGGAAAAAAAAAATCTCGGTATATTTACTAAGAAAAGGGTAAAATTACCAAGAATTCAGGGTTCTATTTGATCCCAGTTTTTTTTTTGGTAAAATTACCATTTATGGAATTGGTAATTTTACCGAGAAATCTCGGTAAAATTATTGAACTTTCTCGGTACTTTTACTGGACCTTGGTAAAAACACCAATATTTTTTATCGACTGTGGTAGAATTACCGAGATAAAATGGCAAAGTCACCGGGAATTGATTACCAATAAAAGTGGTATTCTTACCTGAAAAAAAAACAGTAAAAATACCGGTTTTTAGGTGAGCTTACCAGTCTGCCTTGGTAAAATTACCAATAATTGGTAAAAAAAGTGAGATGGTAAAGGTACAAACAGACCTTGGTAAAAACGCCGAGAATTTTTTTTCAGTGTTATTTCGTTAACCATTCTTTGATTCTTCACGTGTCTCAAATTTGAACTTCTCGCTACTTGAGTTTTCTCCCTGGACCTTTGCAAATAGTGAAGACAATTTAGGGTGATGCAATTCTTACCGCAATGAGATATTCTAGTCGCTGAAAAGCGGCAGGAAACACACTCGGAAGATGCTAGATGGGATCTCACAGTTGTTCACAAATAGAGCTTTCGAATCTAATACTGACAGCACATGGTAAAACTTATTAAGTTGGTTTTTAAATTGGTGTAAAACTTACTAAAAATACACAGGAGCGTAGATATATTGCAGCAGCAACAATTGATCGCGAATATCGAACAAGATGCGCCGTGTATGGGTTTATCTTAACTCTGAAGCACTCTATTTGAGTCGGCGCTAAGTTTTGTGTACATTAAAGGCGTGCGTCAAGTGCTCGCATCGTTTTCAGCTTAAAGCTGTTGAGATAAATTTCGTGTACCTCGTGCTTTTCATCTCGCTGTAGTCGGCCGATTCATGGCAACCTCTTTTTTGCGAAGTTTTACTCCCACCAGAGCAGTCAGTACACCAGCAATCCCGACTGTACAGTCTGACGGTGTGCGCATGCGTAGAGACCACACAGTTGGTAGTGGGCCAATGTTGATTGTCCATTTAGCCCGAGAATTCTGTTGATTTTACAATAGGATTGCTCGTGTGATAGCAGCTCATGAGGCGAGTTTAAACTCGTTTTCGAGGGAGATCAAAGAGTTAGGATGGAGCGCAAACAGAGGGTAATAAAACCGTGTGCCTTATCGGCCCGATTGCAGCCGCAGAAACAGAACCACTTTGAAATTCAAGTAAAAAAGAACCCTTTTGTGGTATCTTTTATTTTTTCGTATCTGATAAAATATCCACATAACCAAATATCCAGTTACGCAAAAGTAGAAGGTCTTGGAGCTTATATATATGATGATAGTATATAAATTGATTTAAAATTGAGAAAATGCACCGCCTAGTGACGTCATCTGGCGGCATTTCCCATTGAAACGCACGTATTTTAGCAGATTAGATCGTTTTGTCATATCTTCTCTAATAATTGTTCAATTCACGAACTAATGGTATCCTCGTGCTCAGTTCACCCAGTAGTTTCCACTTAAACACGAAATTCATCAACACCTGCAAATTCTCTATTCTGAACAAAATTGCCTGAAAAAGTGGGGGAAAAATATCCAGAATTTTCTCAGTAAACTCGTTTTTTATTGAAGGAAACGTGGCAATGCCCGAGGGCACATACGGCGTTTATCCTCAGATATTGCTGATTCAACAATTCAATTGCTAAAAACAGTGAGTGCAATGTTTCAACGCAGATTTTACAGCAAAAAAATGCTACTTTAACCACCCCCGTGGTTAAATTAGTTTACAATGTGGTTGAAGTAGCATTTTTTTGCTGTAAAATCTGCGTTGAAACATTGCACTCACTGTTTTTAGCAATTGAATTGTTGAATCAGCAATTTTTTTTCCGTGTACCTCTGTCCTTTCAGCGTGCTTTTCGAGCGAGAAACAGACCAAGGAGACAATGCGCTCCGAAACAAACAGCCCTTAGTAAAGTTTCTCTCGGGGGGTGTTTTCACATCAATCATCCCAATTAATGACTCCGAGGATTATTCTGAGCAACTGCTCTTGAAAAATGACTTTCTTATACCTACATTTACTTATCCGTTCCGAGCAAACAGAAACTTCCGAACTTGTAGGCGCGCGGGGGATGGGAAGGGGAAGGGGTTGTTCGACTCGGCGCCTAAGTTGAACTCGAGCAGTGGCGTGGCGTGAATTGCGATTTATCGATTGTTATGCCTTTTAAACATATGGTAAAGAATCGATTATTAAGGTGTTTGCTGTGAACACCCTGTCTATCGATCCTTTTCCATAGGTTTAAATTGCATAACAATCGATATATCGCAATTCACGCCACGCCACTGCTCGAGTCGTCTTTCTTTAAGATTTTCACTTGATTGAAGAGAGTGATTAGAATCGTCACGTGACCGACGGAGCGTGGTGCTCACGAAAAAATGGACCCATTTTGCAATGGGCCTGTTGCGAACTTCAGCAAGAGCAGAAAAAAGATTTCCCGTTTTACAGAAAGGCTCAAAAATCACCCAAAAAAAGTTACGGCCTGTATACACCGGCTTACACGCCGGCTTTTTACACACGGCTTTATATATACCGTCCAATGGAGGTGTTGCATGTGTGAGGAATTTGCGATTTGACTGTTGATTCTTACGTAAAAGTTTGCGAGAAACACGATGGTGCCACTGGTTTTCTCTGAAATCAACTCCCAAGCTCGAAAAAAGCTCTCAAGTTGAGGCCAAAATGGAGGGGATATCCCACCCTATCCTGAGAGTCCACCTCTACATCAAGACAATCTTTCCATGCAAAGATAGGGAGCAAATTCATTAGCAGTGATGCCATGTTTTCAGTTTTGGAGTCCCCAAATAAAGTGGCAACCTTGCGGATATATTTGCTCCCTATCTTTGCATGGGGAGTTTGTCTTGATGTAGAGGTGGACTCTCAGGGTAGGGTGGGATATCCCCCCCTGGTAAAAATTTGCGATAGGAGCTGCGTTTCAAAATACCATAGGAGTTTTTATAGCCGACTGAAGAAGGAGATCGAAAATCATATAGCTGGCTGTAGAAAATGGAAAAAATCATACGGCCGGGCTACACGAAGCGATAAAAAATTATACAGCCGGGCTATAGTTCCTATCCCCGGGCTTTACACTTTATCGCCTGGCTGCTGCTTTTTCGCCAACGGCTATAAAAGGCTATAAAAAATTGTGTTGCCGGCTATAGAAGCTATTGGAAATCTTACAGCCGGCTGTAGGTCTATGGTATTTTGGAACACAGATTCTACTGCCAATTTTTACCAGGGCCTCCATTTTGGCCTCAACTTGAGAGCTTTTTTTGAGCTTGGGAGTTGATTTCAGAGAAAACCAAAGGGACCATCGTGTTTCTCGCGAACTTTTACATAAGAATCAACAGTCTAATCGCAAATTCCTCACACATGCAACATCTCCATTTGGGCTCGGAGGCCGAAAGTTCCGGGTGCTGGAGACGTAACTTCGATTACTTTGGGTGCTACGCCCGGAACGCGGACAGCATGTTTATGCAGTCCGTAAGTGCGGCTTCCACGGCCGGAGTTTTTTTTTCAGTGCACAACAGTGGCGTGGCGTGAATTGCGATGTCTCGATTGTTATGCCATTTAAACCTATGGTAAAGAATCGATTATTAAGGTGTTCGTTGCGAACACCCGGTCTATCGATCCTTTTCCATAGGTTTGAATCGCATAACAATCGATATTTCGCAATTCACGCCACACCACTGGTGCACGATGAGCACATCGGAAAGTCTGAAATACATTGCTAACTTCACAATCTGCGAAAGGAATGTGCGTTTTTTTAAGCTTCCATTTGAGCGTCATTTTAAGCATGTTCATTTCAGACTTGTCTGTTGCGCTCATCGTGATTTTTGAACCATTTTCTATAAGAAATTACTCTTCTTTACGCTCTAGCTGAAATTTGCAACATAATGAATATGCTCATTAAAAGAAGCACCTACACAAAACATGGTTTTTGTTGCAGCTTGCCTTATGTTCAGCTTTGCGTCAGCTTTCTTAGCTGTAAGTCAGCTCTTTATGTGTAGTATGTAAAGTAACACGAAAACACTTTTACATTGTTAATTGTTATCATACAACAAATATTTTTCTCAGCGAGGAGAACATTCGTATTGCATTTTGCAAAAAGGAAGCATTTCAGCGTTGCTAGGATTGTGCAAGGTACACTCTTTGCAAAAAATGATTGAACTCGTGCAAAAAATTAAATTTACAAAGTTTTTCTTTACACAACTTTCGTTTTAACTCATAGTTTAATTGTTAAGGTAAAACTTGTCTAGATGATCAGTTTATATTTGCAAGGTCCAAAAAAGCAGCACATTCTCAGCGATATTGAAATTATCTTGGCAGGGCTGGATTTACCTACTTGCCGCCCATGGGCCGCTAGTATTTTGCCGCCCCCTCTCATTCGTTTTGAAACATAAATGAAAACCATCGAATGAACGTGCCAGCGGGGGAGGGGTGTATAAGACACGTTTACTGGTGTTGAACACATTTTTTGGGAAAGCCCTGTTAACACTACTAGCAAAAGTTCACGGAACTTCGCGCGAAAATTAAGTTTCGTAAACCTATCTCTGTGTGGACAAGGCCTTCCATTCATAAGAAATGAACGAAAAAATTATGAAAGAACAAATATAAATGTGGATTAATGATTTTAACTTCCGCCGCCGCGCCTCGCAGACCGCACTGTGTTTGACGCAATGCGTGAAGTATTCACGCAGTCTTGTAGGCGCTATGCATCTCACGCTGATCGCACTGTGTTTGCCGCAATGCGTGAGGTATTCATGCATTCTTGTAGGCGCTATCCGTTTCACGCTGTCCGCAATGACCGGACCGTGTTTGATGCAATGCGAGAAGTATTCGTGCAGTCATGTGTTACATGCCAATCGCCGCGCCGAGGGCTTCTCCTTTTCATCTCAAGTCCTCATTATCATTTCTCTAAGTCTGGCCGTTCCAGGCCAAATTGTATGTTTGGTTTCTCTCTTAATTTGACTAATTAAAGGTGCTGCCTCTTGTATCACTAAAAGACGACAAAAGTAGAAATTACTATACTCTCAGAAAATTAAAGATTTTGTCGCCTTTTCTCGTTTGTAATTTTTTTTTCTAAATCCGAATTCTTTTTATACCTACATTTCAAAAAATTGTAAAATTTGCCGCCATGAGCCGCGGCCCATGTGGCCACCTTCTTAATCCGGCCCTGGATCTTAGTTCCTTTTTGTAAAGTGCAATCCATTTGGCAACCTTCGAATGATCATACAGCGTTTTTCCTCAGCACGGCAGCACTCTTCGTCGGATCTAAAAGAGACGCAATCGATCAAGGGAAAGCTACACGGGGGCTCCAAGCGAGCTTTTTTCGTGTTCGGAAAGTTCCCCGAATAGAAACGCCCGTAAAACACGCGATACCCCACACCTAGAACGGAAAAAGTTGCTACTCATCAAAAGTTGAGTTTTTATTAATTACAGTCGGCGCATTATTCTGCCATGGGAAGGAAAAACGCCGCATGAGCCTTCAGACGTTGCCAAGTTTCCTTCGATAAAAACTAAATTTATTAGTACAATTTTGAATATTTTTTTTTCTAAAATTTTGAGATATTTTTGCACGCAATTCAATCTAAAATATCTGAAAATTTCAAGGAAAAATATGCGTTAATGTAGTCAAAAATACTAATTTTATCGCGAGAAATTTGGCAACTCTCGATGGTTCATACGGCGTTCTTCCTTAGAAC